ATGGTGACACTCCCATGTTGGTTCCCCTTGTGCCTGACCACTGACTCCACTGTCCTGCTGGAGGATGGGGCTCTGAGAAAGCACCGAGCTCTCCCCCAGCTCCTCTCACACAGGGAAGCTGTGGCTGCCCCTGGATCCTTGGAAGTATCCAAGGCTAGGCTGGATGGAGCTCTGAGCAACCTGGTCCAGTGGAAGGTGTCCCTGCCCAGGGAAGGGGGGTGGAACTAGAAGACCTTTAAGATCCTTTCTAACCCAAACCACTCCATGATTCTCTGATGATTCTATGATCTCCATGCCCCTGACCAGGTCCCTCCAACTCCCACCCCTCATCCAGGGTATGTCCTGGGGATTCCCACAGGGGAAGGGTGAGGGTTGCAGCCCTCATGTTCACTCACCACGCTCGGATGCAAACACAGCTCTTCCCTCACAAAACTGCACAAACATTCCCTGCAGGAATGTGGGTGGTCAGAGCCTGCCATACAACAGGGAGAAAGAGAAGTCAGAGGAACTGCTAGAAAAAACACTGAGTATCTTCAAAAAATATTTTCCCAATCCACACGCCAAACCCTAAGTCTCAACAACCTCCATTCTTGCACGCACAAAGATCAGGATCTGCAAATAAAAAGTTGTTTCTGCAAGACAAACCCCAAAACCTCAAATTTGCTTAAGAAACAAAATCAAAGTGTTTTATTTCCCCATGCAGCAGCAGCAGCAGCCCTGGAGGCAGTGCCTGAGAGCAGGGCAGGGCAGCAAGGACGGAGGTGCTGCTGTTCGACCCACAGGCAGGGAGGGGAGAGGGGACACTGCTGTGCCTCACCTCCCCATCTTTCTCAGCTCCTCTGCTCGTTCCTGTCCTGTTTCCTGCAGCTCCCTCAGGAACACAGCCCTGAGCACAGACCAGTCCCAGGACCGCCAGCAATGCCCAGCCATGCTTGGCACAACAGATGCCATAATGGCAATCATTTGGCATCTCCACACCAGAAACTTTGGGAAGCACCGGCACCCACTCCAGCAATGTGTGAATTCGTGGCCTCCCACTCCCAGCCCCAGCAAGGACGGGCAATGACCACCCCCAAGCCCTGGCACAGGGGAAGCTCTTGTGAAACCACCTCTGGAAGAAACAGAACCAGGTCCTTCCGAGCCTGCGCCACTGCTGCCTCGGCAGCCAAACCACCCTGCGCGGCACATCCGAGCACCTTCCTGTCTGCACCAGCCCAGCTGGGAGCCCTCTCCTCCTCTGCTGCCACTTGCATCTGCAAAAGCTGGCCCACCAAGGCCTGTGCCCATGGCCTGAGTGCCAGCCGGTCACGCTGGCCTGCAGCCAGCTGTGCCACAGCTGCCCTGGGGGGTGGCTGCTTTCCCACCCTCCTTGCAGCTCAGCCAGTGGCAGCAACAGCCGCTCACAGCACAGGATCGCTCCCAGCACTGAGCAGGAACAGGAGCGCTGGAACAACTTCCCCTGCCCCAGCACAGCAGCCTGGGGCTCCAGAGCCAACGTGCCCGTGGCCATTCCTCCGTGGAGAAGCACCTGGATGCTTCAGCCCCTTCGGAGCTCAGTCTGGGGTCACTGCCTGGGAATGCGCGGTGGGAAGCAGCCGCTTGCTTCACTTCCGAGCGCTCTGCGTTGAGCAACCCCTGCTGCTGCTGCTGTTTGCTGTCCCTGGGAGGGGACAAGGAGCTCCTGTAACAGGGCACTAAAGGCTTGGGAAAGAGAGCGAACCAAAGCAGGCAGCCGACACCAGGGCAAGCTTCTCCCGCGTTCTGTGTGCCCGCTGCCCGTGCAATCTGGAGGGAAACGTGCTCAGCCAAGGCATGAGGCTGAGGTTCCTTAAGGCATCACAAATTCATCACAAGGCACATCTGTACGGTGCCAAATAAAACCACCTGCTGGGGGTTTGTTTTCTCTCTCCAAAAATCTTCTTGACAGTCCCTGTGTTTTAACAGCCCTCCTGCCATCCCACACATCCCCGAAGGCTCAGCGTACCCGTAATGCAAACTGCCTTTGGAAAAATCTCCTTAAAATAGCGACAGAAATTACTAATGCAGTTTGTAAAACCTACAGGCAGAGGATGGTGGTGGCACAAGCCTGCCCATGCTGGTGAGCCCACCAGTGTCCTGCAGAGACCCCAAGCCCTGCCACTTTCCCCCACAGCGAAGCCCCCAGTGCCAGCTGCCGTGGGCAATGCTGGGGAGGACCCACACAGTGCCCAGTTCAGCTGCTGTCCCCCAAATTCCGGGCTGCCTCTCTCACGTGACTCCGCACAGACCCTGAGCTCCCTTTGGGCTCTGCAGCACAGCTGCTCCTGTGGTGCCACATGCAGCAGCCTCGGGGCACCAGCTGCCACCGGCATGCGATGGCAAACCCCGCTTGCAGGCACCCGCGTTGGCTCTTGACAGCTCCCCACGAGCACCCTGCAGCATTCCCACAAAGCACACAGCAAACCTGGAAAGCCCTTAGCACCAATTACTCGGATCTCCCCACTCACCGTTGCTCGGTGCCTGAGCAGGAGGAACAGCACGGCTGCACCAAGGGGGGACTCGCCTCCCAAAACCGAGTCCAGGCAGCTGGCGGGGCCTGGCAGAGGGAGGCGTCTGAAGGGGTTTCAAGCTGTGAGATGATTTTTGGACAGAGCCCGAGCATGCAAACAAACACAGCGAGGGACAGAGCAAAGGCCTCTGTGATGCAAACAATCCCCTGCCTGCAAAGGAGAGCAGCCCAGCTCTCACTGCCAGCCCCGGTGCCAGCAACTCCAGCCACGAGACCCAAGGAACATGAGCTGGACAAAGCACGGATGTCACATCTCTGCCATGCAGGCACAGCCGAGTAACAGGCACTGCCAGGAGAGTGCCAGTGCTCTGGGTGGGCTGCAAGGTGCCAACACAGCTGCTCAGGAGCCCGTCTGCACCCCCTGCCAAGGGACCCACATCTCACAGCCAGCTGACCTTGGTGCTGCCAACACCTCTCGAGCCTCAGCAGAGGCTGATGCTGCCCAAGACCCGCAGGTGCAGCCTCTCACTGGCCACCTGCCCAGGCCACCACGCTCATCCTGATATAGGAGGGCAGTCCCAACCCTGGCTGAGCTCCGGACACCTGGACAGAGGGACAGCCCCAGCCCATGGGTGTCTCTGTGTATGGCAGTGCTCAGGTTATGGAGGCACAGCTTGGTGCTGGGCTGTCAGAGGGATGCCATGGGAGCGGGGAGAAGGGACCGTGTGCCAAAGAGCAGAACGGGAGGACAAAGGTATGAGAAGCACCCCACGCTCAAGACCTTGTCCCACCTGCCGTGCATCCTGCACTGTGTTCTGTGCACTGTGGCCACCTCAGCACATCCTGCACTGCACCGAGCACCCTGCACCCAGCACCACTCATGACCCCAGCACTGAGCATCCTGCGCTGGGCACCCTGCTCCAAGAATCCTGTGCTGGCCATCCAGCACCAGGCACCCAGCACTGAGCGTCCTGCGCTGGGCACCCTGCTCCAAGAATCCTGTGCTGGCCATCCAGCACCAGGCACCCAGCACTGAGCGTCCTGCGCTGGGCACCCAGCGCTGAGCATCCTGCGCTGGGCACCCAGCACCAAGCATCCTGCATTGGGCACCCTGCTCCAAGCATCCTGCGCTGGGCACCCTGCTCCAAGAATCCTGTGCTGGCCACCCAGCACCAGGCACCCAGCACTGAGCATCCTGCGCTGGGCGCCCTGCTCCGAGCATCCTGCGCTGGGCACCCAGCACCGCTCCGCGCATCCTGCGCTGGGCACCCAGCACCGAGCATCCTGCGCTGGGCACCCAGCACCGCTCCGAGCGCTCCGCACCGAGCACCCAGCACCGAGGACCGCTCTGTGTCCCCAGCACCGTTCCGATCACGCATCACCGCCCGGCGCCCCCAGCACCGCGCACCCCCACGCACTGCGCACCGAGCATCCCCCGCCGCTCCGCGCCACCCACCGAGCCCCGAGCCGGTAGCAGGCAGCTCCCGCCGCGCAGCCCGGCCGCTGCCACCTGCCAGCCGGGGGGACAAACGGCGGGGGCACACGCGGTACCGGGCCGGGCCGGGCCGCTCCCCTCGGTGCCCCCCGCACTCACCGGGGCCGCCGCCGGCCCGGAGCGGCGCGAGACGCGGCGACGTCACGCGCACGCGGGGCCGGGATCCCCGCCCGCCGCTCCGCGCCTGCGCCGCGCGCGCCGCGCACCGGGCGGCACCGGGGGACACCGGGCGGCACCGGGGAACCGAGCCCGGCACCGAGCCCGTGTCCCTGCCCCAGCCCGTGTCCGTGCCGGTACCGGCCGTGGCCGCGCAGCCGTCCCCAAGAGTTGCCAGGAGCGCTCCGCACCGCTCTGCCCGCGGCCTCACCGTTATCCCCGCTTCCCGCCCCCCTCCCGGTGTTGCCCGTGTGCGGAGCCCGGCAGCGCTGCCGTCACTGCTATCGCTGTAATTAATCACCGCCGTCGCTAATCAGCGGCGTGGGAGCGCGAGGAAATGACACCCGAGGTGCCCCACCGGGAGGCAACGGGATGGGATGGGGGGATGAGGCGGCAGAGTTCCCGGTGGGGAGGGGCAGCATCCCAGGGGAAAAAAGGCAACTCCTTGAAAGTGAATTGGTGTTCGATTGACTGCAATTTCGGCTGTGAATTAGTGGATCCCACTGGCAGGGACCCCTCGCAGCCCCCCGATCCTGCAGGCGTGGGCAGAGCCAGGAGCCCTCCCTGATTCCGCCGCTCCCGGGACACCCTGAGCCCCCAGATTGAGAGAGTCCCCACGGGGGCTGGTGGGGTCGGGCTGCAGGGCCTCTGCCACCCCCTTCTCCCACACCGAGGGTCTCCTCTATCCCAGCACGAGACCAATTCCAAAACCCCCCTCCCCATCGTGTCCCACCCAGCTCCAGCGCAAGGCTGGCACATCCCAGGCAAACGGAGCCGCGTTCATGCACCACCGACCCCCGAGCAGTTCTAATCTTCTGGTTTTTTTTTAATTTGCCTCACAAGGTAGAGTACATCCAGGGAATGTGCAATGTACAAGGAAAGTGCTGGGCAGGCGAGCGCGAGGGGAGGCGGGGGTGCCCCACGGGGCCCGGGACTCGTAGCTAGCAGGCGGCACGCTCAGTCGGAGGGCGCGTCGGGGGTGACAAAGGTGCCCTTCTGGTCCCACTGCATGTCCCGGATGCGGCGGATGGACTGGATCTGGGGCTGGAAGGCAGACCACTCATTCCAGTGTCGGAAGTCTCCGGTCTCAAAGAGGTACTGGTAGCCTCTGTAGCCAGGGTACTGGTACCCGACCCAACTGCAGGAAAAGCAGACACAGGGCACCTGAGCGGGGTCAGCCACTCCAGGCAGCAGCCACACAGCTGGCGTGTGCTCAGTGGCCAGCAGGGCCTCCCTGCACTGGGCACCAGCCTCTGGAGGATGGGCCACATCACCAGAAACAGCCACCAAAAGCAGCCATGCCACCAAAACAGCCATGCCACCAAAACAGCCCATGCCACCAAAAGCAGCTGGCTGGGGAGGACAGGGAGCCTGGCACAAGGCAGTCACCGCTGCAGCCCAGCTTACGTTCCACTGGGCACCTGCACGCTGCCCACGCGGTCGCAGAAGCCATAAGCCCAGAGGCTGGGCACGTCGTCCTCCTGGATTTCCATCTTGTTGCCCTTGAAGTCAGCAGACTCGTAGAGGGAGATTTTGTGGTCCTCAGCCTCCTGGGGAAGACAGAGGGAGGGTGCTGGGCAGTGTGGCCAAAGCCCTGGAGCTTTGCTGCAGCGAGGCATCCAGCGAGGCTGGGCACAGCCCAGCCCTGGGCAGACCCCAGCAGGGCTCTCTGCTCCCGAGCACTCACCATTTTGATGGGACGCATGGACATGAAGCAGTCGCTCCGGTAGCTGCTGGACCAGGTGTCCCAGCGAGGGTACTCGCCCTTCTCCAGGATGAACATCTCCCCGCGCATGTTGGCCTGCTCGTAGGCCACCCAGCTGGGGAGAGAGGTGGGCAAAGAGCGGGTCAGGTGCCACCCAGCAGTTCCTCTCCTGCTCAGCCTGCTTGCAGGACAGTGGAGGGGTTTCCAAAACGGCCCCACCACCCTGCTCCCACCTTTATCCCAGCCCAGGTACTGTGGCCTGTGCAGAGCCAGCGCTGATCCATGAGCTGCTGGCTGGAAGCTCGCTGATGTTTGAATGTCCAAACCTGCAGCAGGCACCAGCACTCACAGTGTTCCTCTTCCTCGGCTGGGGAGCAGCAGGACCCGTGCACAGCTGGTGACCCCACAGAGTCAGCTCAGGACTCTGTTGTCCCTCCTGCCTAGGCTGTGTAATCCTGGCACGCCTCACTGCCCAGCGCTGGCAGCCGTCCCACTGCCGGGTGTGGGGCTCACTCAGCTGTGATGTCACCTCTTCAGCAGAGCCACGAGGTGCTGTGGGGCTGGGAATGTCATGGGTGTGGGGCTTCAGAAGCCCCCGGCACCTCAACAGTCCTGCATTTGCTTCTTCCACTTTCCCTGCAAAACAGCTCTTCCAGCAGGGAAGATGCCAGCCGGGGTTTTCCTGCTGGCAGGAGAGGTGTTCAGGTACCCCAGGCTGCACAGCCTCAAGCTGACTGCTGAAGCTCAGCTTGGTTGTTTTGCTTTCATCTTTCCCTAAGCACATTTTTGGGTGCAGAGCCCCATCGGTGACTCTCAAGAAGCTTCTAAGGACCCCAATGACACCCAACTTCTCTGTCCTCCCAGTTTCACTCTTTCTATGTCTAGAGCAGTTTCCCAGGTATCACATCTGAGCTCCTTCCAGGCTGCTTCATCCCCAATTTGTTTCAAGAGCAGTTGGATATTCTGGGTTCCTAATAAAAAAGTCATCTGTGCTGCGTGGTGTCATTCCAGGTCACCCTCCTGGTCCCCCAGAGATGCTGTCAGGACAAGCCATGTCCTGTGCATCCTCCCCACAGCACTTCCAGCCCCCCTGCATTCCTGGGCACGCCGTTTCCAGCCGGGCACAGTGCAGTGGGATGCTCTTTCAACATGGAGATCATCTGTCTGCTCAGTTATCTGCTTTTGGGATCGTTTTTGTCCCTGCCTGTGTCAACTGTTCCCACGGCTTTGAGACCTGCCCAGCCCCCCTGTTGCTGCTCAGCTGTCTGGGTGCAGGCATGTGCCCGTCCCTGCCTGTCCCTGCCTGCTCCAGCTTGCTCCAAGGATCCCACTTCATTTCATCTTGACTTCTCTAAAATCTGCAGGTCCCTTGTATTCCATGGACAGCTCCAGGTGGCTGAAATGATGGACACATTTCCTCAGCCCTTGGCTTTGTCTCTGGTGCCCTTTGTTTTGCATGTGGCCCTGGCATCCTTCCCACCCATCCTGGCCCTCCCGTCCTCCTCGAAGGAGACCTGGGATGGCCGCTCTGCTCCTGTGCCGGCCCTGCTGCGCTCTGCCCAGGCAGCGGGGAAATGCCCCTGCACATCACATTGTGCCCAGGGTGCCCCCCAAGGCCATGTCCCCACCCATCCCCAGGGACACGGCCCCCTCCGTGGCTGGGGTCACTTACGGTCCAGAGGTGACAATGACACTGCGCACCCGGTCGAAGCCACGGTCAGCCAGGTTCAGGCACTCGGCGGTGAACTCCATCTGCCTGCCCTGGAAGTTCTCCTGGTCGAAGACAACGATCTGGGGGTGCAAGGAAAGGGTTGGATGAGGACAGGTGTGCTCAGGGAGGGCAGGCTGGTGCTGTGTGACCCTGCATGCCTGAGCCCACTGCTCCACCTGTCCCCCTCGGCTCTCCAAGCCTTCTCCTCCTTCTCCTGCAGCTTCTTGGATCTGGAGCCTGCCCATGCTGTGCTGGGCTCTGAGCACAGGAAGGTTCCCCCCAACAGCTGTTCCTGCTCCAAGATGGTCTCATCCTGCCCCTGGTTTTGCTGCTGCTGGTGCCCACACTGGTGGGAAGGAGCTGCTTCTCCTGTGCCCTGTCTGCACTCTGGCACAGTGTCACCAGAGCCCTCCCATTACTTGCCCCATGCCAGCCATGCTGCAGTGCCTCATTGGCAATGCTGACCTGGCATCACTGTGGCAATTCAGTGCTGGCCCTGTCACCAGTGTCCCCTCCACCTCCCCACAGGCCCCCTGCAGGCAGGGGGTCACCAAAGGAAGCAGGTGGCAGCAGCCAGTCCTGACACCACAACCCAGGGGAGAGCACTTCCAAAGACTGTGGTCCCCAACAATCCCTTGGTCCTGGCCAAGGGACCTTCAGACTGTTTGTCCTGCAGCAGGTGCCCAAATCCTGTGCCTGCTGTCACAGGGACAGAGCAAGGACGGCATCACCCACACTTCCACCCTCCTTCCCCCTGGGGCATTCTCCTCCTGCCCCAAGGATGCTGCCCCTGTCCCTTAGCCCAGAGCATGTCCCTGCGCGTGGGGAGCCACAGGGCTTACCCTGAAGGCTTCTGGGGAGGGCTCCTCGCCCTTGCTGTTTGCGACAGGAGCAGGGTCGAGGGATGGGGTTGGTGCAGGAGCCGCCTTCTCCTTCTCATCCGCAGCCTGGCCGGGAGCAGCGGGTTTTGTGGTCTCAGACATCGCGGTGGTGGGCTCAAGTCTGTGACAGGGCACCAGCAGCAGGTTAAAGGGAGGCATGGATGGCCACCCACAACCCGCCCCAGGAAAGGTAACGTCTGGATGAGGACTCTCAATGGGGCGGGTGGCCAGGGCCAGGAGAGGAGCTGCTGGAAGGTTCTCCAGCCGGCACAGGTGGGGGCCCTGCCTTCACCAGGGGATCACAGGAGGTCCTGGAGTCCACGCTCTCCTTCTGTGGTCAGGAGAGCCCGGAGCATGGTCCCAGCACTGGAGGGGTGCCCAGGGATGGGGCCTGATGCTGTGCCAGGCACCGGGGCCATCCCGCACGGGGTGTGCCTGGGAGCCCGGGGGGCACCGGGGCAGCGTGTGAGGGGTGGGAAAGGGACAGCCCTGGTCTGCTGAAGCCCTGCAGCTGGCACCCTGCTGCGGCCCCGCAGGTGAGTGTCACCAGCAGCTCTCCGGGGAGTGGAGGGCGGTGGGATGCTGAGCACAGAGGTGCTCCCAAACGTGACCACCACAGCGGTGGCCACGGCTTAGACCCTGAGTTTCCCTCTCCCCACCTCGGGTCCGGCTGCAGCCCGGTGCCCGGGGACTTCGTCCTCTTACCTGGGCAGCTGCTGCTTCTTGTTGGAGTGAGCGGGCTTGTGTTTCGGGGCGCCGCGAGGCCCCCACTTTATAGCCTGGCAAGGGCAGACCCCCGGGCGGGCGCACAAAGGAACTGCCAGCTCATCAGTGTCTGCGCGGCCGCCCAGTCATCACATCCTGCAAAGCGCTGGGCGAGCTGGAAGCCTCTCCCCGGCCCCGTGCCCAGCCGCTGAACCCAGCACTTTCCTTTGTGCCCGCGGCACAACAGAAGACCTGACCGTGCCACTTTGCAGCGCGCCCGGCACCCGCTGCCCCGCGTGCGGCCGCCCCGCCAGGGCATATATAGCCCTGGCACGGCCCGGCCGGCTCCGGCACCGGCACAGGAACAGGAACAGGAACACCTCCCCTGCCCAGCGCCCCGAGCCCGCGGTGACACCGCTCCCGTGCCGCTGCCACCGCGCAGGGAGCGGCAGCCCCGCCGTGCCCGTTCCTCCCCTCCAAACACCGAACCTCTCGCTCTGAGCATCACTCCGTGCCCGCAAGCGCCGGCAGCGCTGCCCTGGCGGTGCCAGGAAGCGAGACCTGAGTGTTCTGAAGTGTTGCTGGAGTTAGTTTTTTTCCAAACGATGTGTAATCGAAGCTGACACTTTCCGAAGCACCTGAGTGCCTGGAAGCACTGTTTGTTCTCCCTTGGGAACGTCCCTGCTCACTGGCAGGGCTCTTCCTTTGCTTTTTAGCTCATTTTCCCCGTGCTGCAGTCACCCTGAACAACCCCTGGTTCTGCCACCACCACATTCATGGTTTTGGGGCACCAGCTCTGTCTGACTGGCGCAGGAGGGTCAGGGGGTGGCTGGCTGGGGACGCACTGACACCAGCTCAGCCTCTGGTGCCACATCTCCCCCACCTCATGGCACCTCGGAGGAGACTTTCCCCTGAGTCCTTCTGAGCTTCTGATCAGCTCTTCTGCACCTCCACAGCCCTGTCCAACACCTCCAGCTTCCCGCAGCATCCAGCACCGGGGGTGCCTTACCCGGGGTGTGCGTGTGGAGGGCTGAGAGCCCCGTGTGCTGCCCTCCTCTTTTGTCCCTCCCATGTGTCACCCAGCGGTGGTGGGATCCAGCTGCACCCTCTGGGCTATTGCGCAAAATCCTGAACAAAAGGACTGTATTGATCCCTTCTTTTCCCGAGGTTTTTCAGGAGGTGTGCTGTGCCCGTGACATGGCTGGGTGCAGGGTCTGCTGCCCCGTTACCCTGGGCACTGGCCCAGTCTGGTTCTGACCCTGATGTCGGGCAGTGTTTTATGATTCACGATTTCAATTTGCACTCGTTTCCATGGTTCTTTCCAGATTTCTAAATTAACCTGCCCTCTCTTCCTCCCAGAACCAGCGTGGGTGATCTCCCTGTGCTGCCTCCCCTGTGCCTCCTGGGCATTAATCAGCAGGTCTCCCTCACCCCCTGCGCCTGACTCTGCTTCCCCTCCCTATCCCTAGCACCTCTGAACGTGGGAATTGGAAAACCAGCCCGAGGGGCCGAGATCTGCTCCTGATGGCTGCTGTGCTCGTTACTGAGCACTCAGCATCCCCGTGGGTTTCCCTGAGCCAGTGCTGCGGCTGGGCTGACAGCAGGGATCGATCTTTGGCCATTCCTGAGCTCCCTAGACACAAAATCTCTGCCCTGCCATGGACCCTGTGTCCTGTAAAGCCCCACACCATCCCTCCCTGGCACGGGTGAGCCTGTGGGATGCACAGCTCCAGCAAACAGCCACCCCAGCAGCAGACAGGCAGAGCTGGCACAGCGTGGCCACCGAGGGCACGGGCACGAGGGTTTGTTCTGCCCTGGTGAGTCCCGCTGCCCACGGATCTCCTGCTGCTGCATCCCTGCCTGGCATGGAGTGGCACCGTGGGGGCACAGCTCGGGCTCTGATGACCATGTCCCACTGCCAGGACATGGTGTGGACAGCGAGCGAGTGGTGGTCACTGTGCTGGTGGCCAGCGCAGGCTGGGTTTAGCTCAGGCCACAGTGAGAGGCTGAGGACAAATCGTGCCAGTGTCAAGAGGGCTTTTGCTGGGGTTGCAGGTGGCAGGGACAACCCGTGCAGCCCTGCTGTGCCCTGGGGCAGCTGGTTCTGCTGAGCCTCCCCAGCTGCCCTGCTCTGCCTCCCCCAGGGTGCCCAGGGCTCACAGGGCTGCTGCAGCTGCATGAGGGGGACTCTGGCTCAGCCCCCTGGCAGTTTTCTGGCAAATTCTGTCCCAAAACACAGCACTCCCTGGGACCACGGGTTTTCCATTGGGCTCAAAAGCCTCCCTTGTTTGCTGCTCGCTCCGAGGAACAGGCTGGGTGGGTGCCCAGCTTTTGGAGCCCTGGTACCACCCTGGGATGATTTGTGAGGTGTGTTGGTCACGGTGAGCAAAGCTGGAAGGTGTTCAGGTCCCCAAAATGTGGTGGCAGCAGACCCTTTCCAACACACAGAGGCAGGAGGGGCTGTTGCAGCTCTTCCCAAGTCATGACCTGCACCTCCAGTCTCTCCCGTGCCTTTTCAACCCCCCCACCACTTTCCATGCCCCTGGTCCCCACTTCTTACGGTGTCCATGGCTGTTGTGTACCCAACCTGCAACGAGCTGCCCCGGATTTTGGGGAGAGCTGCACTGCCCTAGCAGGGAGAGCTAGTGAACACTTGTATTTCCTCCCACTTCCCAGAAAGGGATGAGGAAACCTCCCCGCGCCCCCAGTGCAGGCAGCACTGCCTGCGGGCAGGGGGAGCGCTGCCAGAGCTGGGACACGGCCCCAGCCCAGTCCCACGCCAGGAAGGGCACATGGCAGGAGCGCTGGCAGAGCCTGGGGGCGATGCCCCGGCTCTGGAGCTGTGGGACGGGGGTCAGAGACTGTGCCCGGTGGGCCAGCTCGATGTCCCGGCTCATCAGCGTCTCTGACACGGCGCCTTTGTTCTGCCCGGTCCCTCCTCCCCGCCATGTGCTGAGTTAGGGGTTTCAGTAATGCTCCCCTGGGCTCTGTCTCTATCTGGAGGCTATAAAAACCCAGCCGGAGGCTGCTGGACATGTCACCTCCCTGGGCACCAGTGCCTCACCCCAGGTAAGCGCTGCAGCCTGGGGCAGCTGCCCCGTGCCCATGGTTGGGAGCAAGCAGCTGCGGGAAGAGCTGGAGGAGCATCCAAGATGCGGGGTTAGACCCCTCCTCGGTGCCGGGAGCTGTGGTGGGGGTTGGGAGTGGGGAGATCGGGGGCTGTGTGTGGCTGTGGCAGTGGCAGGGTGTTGATGCTCAGCGCGGGCACGCAGCCACCGCCGCAGTGCTCCTGGCTCAGCGCTGCCCTGCCTGCACTGCCTGCCAGCACCGGGGCTTTGGCTCAGGGAGCTGCCAGTGGGAGGAGGAGTTTCCCTGGGCACGGGCAGGGATGTGTGCCAGGGCCAGGTGCCCAGTGGGCCAGGTGCCCGCTGCTCCACATGGCCCTGGTGGCAGCTGGGCAGGGAGAGCCACAGAGCTCTTCATCCGCTCCAGCATGGAGCAACCACTTGTTGTTCCCCACACTGCCGGTGAAGGGATGTGCGTGGGCTCCTGAGGTCATTTTCATCCGGGCAGAGGGAGCTTTAACCGTCTCCTTCCCCTGTGCTCTGGCAGAGCCACCATGACGCACCGCTGCAAGAAATCCTCCGGTCTCTGGAAGGTACGGGAGCCTGGGCAGGACCAGCACCGTGCCCTGAGAACACCCGGGAATGGGGCTGCAGTATCTGCTTGGGGCCTTGGCACCGCCAGAGCCCCCTGACTCCCTCTATTCCCCCCAGATCGTGGTGTGGGACGAGCCTTTCTTCCAGGGCAAGAAGCACGAGTTCACCACCGACTGCTACAGCACCCCGGAGCACGGCTTCAGCACCGTCCGCTCCTGCAAGATCGAGAGCGGGGCGTGAGTGGGGGTCCCGGGGCACTGCCACCCCGCCGTGCTGCGGGACCCCACGGATAGCAGGGGGGTTGGAGGATGGAGGCCTCCAGTGTCTTTTGCTCCCCGAGCTGCCTCTCCTGGGCACCGCTGGGTGCAGCGGGCACAGCCCGGCTGTGAGCGGTTCGGTGGGCACCCCGGGGGTCTCACCCCTCCCGCCCCGGCAGGTGGGCAGGCTTCGAGCACTGCGGCTTCCAGGGGCAGCAGTTCGTGCTGGAGCGAGGCGAGTACCCGTGCTGGGAGGCGTGGAGCGGCAGCAACGCCTACCACGTGGAGAGGATGTGCTCCTTCCGCCCCATCGCCTGCGCCGTGAGTGCCCCCGCCCCGGCTCCACCCGCGGGGCGGCCCCCGGAGCCCACCCCCGGCCACGGACAGGGTGGCAGTGCCAAAGCCGTGCCCGTCTCGGCCGCAGGACCACGGACGGAGCAGGCTGATGCTCTTCGAGCAGGAGAACTTCCAGGGCAAGCGGGCAGAGATGAACGACGACTGCCCCTCGCTGCCCGCCCTGGGCTGGGGCAGCAGCACCGTGGGCTCCTTCCTCGTCCGCTCCGGAGCGTGAGTACCCGGGGCTTGCAGCCTGCCGGGGCCGCCGGGGCACGCAGCGGAGCCGAGGATGCTCTAGCAGCTGCCGGGACCCCTGCCACCAGCCCCGAGCCACCGCCGCTCTCTGCTCTGTCGCAGGTGGGTCTGCTCGCAGTACCCGGGGTACCGGGGCTTCCAGTACCTCCTGGAGAGCGACAGCCCCGCGGGCGAGTACAAGCACGTGCGGGAGTGGGGGTCCCACGCTCAGACGGGCCAGGTCCAGTCCATCCGCAGGGTCCAGCAGTGACCGCGGTGCCGGAGCCCCGGGCACCGCCTGTGCCGCGGTGCGGCGGCGACAAAGCTCAATAAAGGCTCGGTTGTCCAAGGCGGCGCTGGAAGTTGGGGATGGGAGGGGATGGGGGCCGTGGGGGTGCGTGGCCGGGAGTGTCGCCGCTCCCGGGGGCAGAACGCGGCTCTGCAGGGGCAGGGATGGGCTGGAGGGGAATTCTTCTGCCCGGCTGCAGGTGCAGGGGTTCTGCGGGACCCCCACATCCCACCACCCCACAGACACCATCTGCTCTTCCAGCACCTGCCAGGGGCTGAAAGGAGCTGCAGGATCAAGCAAGTGTGCGCCTATC